AATACCTTTTATAATATTATTAAGCTATAAGTATCTTATACCTTAAGATATTATATAAATCTTCTTAATAAAGTTAATATCTATAGGTTTAATAATAACCTTCTTAGTATAAATAGCTATATATAAAGTTATTAGAAATAAGTTAGTAAAAGAATAGAAAGTAAATAAATAAATATATTTTTAAATATAGTTACTAAGGTTATTTTAATAGCTTCTTAAAGAGTAGTAAGAGCTATTACTTATTAATAAGTTAGATTAGATTTACTAACCTATTTATCTATAATTTCTTTAATAAAGTACTAAAAAGGTACTTTAGGAATAAAGGTATTATAAGAAACTTAATATTAATAAATTTCCTATAAAGTATAATCTAAAAGATATTAATATTATAATAACTAAAATAAATTATAATAATTTAACTTATTTTTAAGCTTATAGTAGTAGGTAGGTATATACTTTCTTATAATATAGGTAAGGATCTTATAGGTAGTCTTCTAGTTAGTCTTCTTAGTAGCTATAGTAGTAGTCTTATAGCTATACTTATAAGTAGTCTATTTAAGTATATTTTTAGTAGTACTTATACTAAATAATATAGTAAGTAAGAGTATTATAGATTTAAAATATTTAGAAGAAATTGAATTCTAAATAAGTAAAAATAAAGGAAATAATAAGACTTATATAGCTAATAGTAAAATAAACTAAATAAAATTATAATTATAATATATTATAGAGGAAAAATAGAGTAGAATATATAAGGTAATAGATATTAAAAAGAGGAGTTATAAGTATATATTTAGTAAGTAGTAAGAGTAACTAACTTACTTATTACTATAGTAATAGCTACTTACTTTATAGAAATTATATAATATATTAATATAGTCTNATAGTTTATATATCTATATTATATAAAATTAATTTTATATTTATTATTAATCTATCTTCCTACTATAATTAAAATATAATATATCTAAAATAAAGATAAATATCTCAGCCTCTAGCCGTTCATAGTGATTTTTACCTGCTTAGAGCGACAGACCCTCCTAACTCCGCGCCTCCTAACAATACACACAGCCTTTAGTCATATGATCCCTAACGACCTCCTAAGTCTCTAACCACATCCCTCTCCTAACTATAGCTGCACTTATATATGCACCACTAGACAACCTCACAATCTTTAACTTCACTTCAATAACAATATAGTTTATAATTACTTAATTACTTAATTACTATAGACTACTAAACTGTTAACCTATCCTCTCTCTCGCATATCACCTATGCTACTATTAAACACTATCTCCATCACTGCTTTGCTATCTGCTATAGTGGCTTCTTTAGAAGTAAGTTGTCACTATTATTACAGTCTTCTTGTTTAATCAAGCTAGCTAACACCTTTACAGCAGCTATACTATTATTAGTAACGCTCTCTCTGTTAGTTAGCATAAGGCGCACTTACTAATATTTAAGCCTTACTATGCCTATACTTATACCTAGGCTTAAGCTGCCTCTACCTTAGTATTACAAAAGGCTTGCATAAAGAAGGGCCACTCTTTAGGATAGCTAGAGATATACGTAGCCTCTATGTAAAGGTGTTTAAAGCTATCGTTTATCACTTTAATTATAATATAAAGAAGGTCCCCTTTAGAGGTATTTATAAAGGCTCTAGCTGTTACTACCTTAATAATATGCTACTAATTAGCAAAAGAGTGCTTACTGAATTTAAGGGCTTCATTTAGTATATAGATATTATCTTATATAGTGATACCTTTAGCTATTTGCTTATAAAAAGGCGTACCTTATAGGGGATTAGCGTTCTTATATATCTCTTATAGTGTAGATATTATGAAGCTTTAGGACTTATTATAGGTTATAAGAATAGGTTATTAATATAGGTTTAAGGATAAGGAAGAGGAAGAGGAAGAGGGATAGGTATAAGGCCCTACGCATAGTAGCAGAGTTTTTATGCTTCTAGCTATAAGAACCTCTTCTAACGACCTCTTTAGTTGAGGAGTTATCTCTTATGTGGTGGCGTTCACCTCGCTAGAAGGTTTAGCGAAGCTATCGCCAGGCTATAAGAGCCTCAGTAACCTATTTAGCCTTAATATAATCAGCCCTGCTATATGTAGCGCTGCTGGCCCCGCGCTATGCGGCTGGCGCTGTTGCTGTTCCGCTAGTCTATTTAGCTAGGGTGCGCGTTCGACTTTATATGAGGGTTTGCCTACTAGCAGGAACGTATAGGGTTTCTGTACTGTTTTCCTTAGTTAGTAGAGGGCATAAGTTAAAGTGCCCATATAGTGTTTCTGGAATTATGCCTGCGTATGGGGTGAATTTTGCCGTAGTCTTTTTGTAGGGGGGCTGCATTATAACTATAAACTTAAGATAAATATCTCTTTAAGTACTTATTATAAAATATCTTCTATTTATACTATATAGTATACCTTAAGAAATATTATTATTATTATATATTTATAGTTTATATTTATAATATTATTATAATAATCTTTTTTATAAGTTACTTAGTTAGGTCTAAAGCTAGTGAGAAAAAAAAGGTAGCTATAGATTATTCTATTAACCTCTATATAATAAAGGTATAAAAATAAATTTATAATATAACTAGTATAGAAGCTAAGTTTTACTAATTAAAATAATATCTAAATATTAAGATAATATATATAAAGAAAATAATAATATAAGAATACTAAAATTAGGATTTCCTAAGTAAAGTAGAGTAAAAAGCTATAATCTAATAAATAAAGGTTTAAGTTTATTAAGATATATAAATTCTCTTAGAAGAAGATATTTTAAAAATACTTATAAGAATTTAGAATAGAAAGTAACTATTACTTAGTTTAATTTAACTCTTACTTTTTTTTACTTATTCTAATTATATTACTATAGTTAATATCTTTACTAAATACTAAAGTTTAATCTAACTTTAAGATATTAAGAGGATCTACTCTAAAGTTAAAATATAAAATATAGATATTTTTTAATAGTTTATATAAAGTATTAATTAAGTTTAAAATAAATATTTATTAATCTTTT